ATATACATATATATATACATACAAAACTGTGACAGACCTAAAGCCATACTTTGTTGAAAAGTTCCATGAAGGAATCATAAATCATGAATGTTATGGCAACATCTAAACATACTCTTCCCAATCGTGGAATGGTTCCTTTGTAAAATGCCATTGGACCCTCTTTCTTCCACACCTGAACTACGCAATCCATACTGCTTTTATACTTTGAAGCTTCCAATCCCTAAAAGTAGAAAAAAGATTCAGAACAATGAAGTTTTATGACACATTATGATGAACATAAATTAATTAATAGACTAATACATTTTAATATATATTATTAATTTAATATATATTAATATAAATTATAAATATGTAAGATACATACCTGCATCCTAGTTTTTATGACATCAATAGGCGTGTTTCCAAAAACTGATGCTGCGCCAGCAACTGCACCAAATGCACCGACGACTACTTTAGGAACACTTTTAGTATTGTCACCTCCTTTGTACCAGTCTTTTAATGTTTCCATCACGAAGAAACGGATAGCTTGATTTGATCCTTGCTTCAAGATTGTTGGCACTACTCCTTGATACACTCCTCTGAATCCTACATTAAAAAAAAAGTATATATATATATATATATATTGTTAATATAAGTATAATATTTTTTATATTAATATTTAAAATAATTTTGGCATATAAAAATATGTAAAGACATAAAAGAGTATCTTCATACACATAAAGATTCAGATAGTGATGCGATAAAAAACGTCAACTTATTTACACAAAAGCATGAAATATGTGTGTGAATAGGTTGACACTTGTTTATCGCGTCATAAAGTCGCTCGTTTGTCTAAGCCGTAATTACTATTATTATCTACGTACAATGTTTTAAATTCTAATTTTCTATATAATTTAATGTAATTTTATATATTTTTAAAATTTTTTATATGCCACATCCTTATACGATCATCATTTAATATTCAAATGAATTCATGATTATGTCATAATGTACATACTGTAAAATCTATATGTTTAAACTTATGTTGCAATTTCTCAGTTAAACAAGTTTTGATTCTTAACTGGATTTCATGATTAAATTGTACTTATTTCTATTATTATATGTGATTCTATATTTTTCTTTTCTTTTCACGTTGCAATTCGATCATAATTCAAATGTATTCCATTTTTAATTTACAAAAAACATGAATTAATAAAATCAAAATTAATTTTAGACTCTTTAAACTTGAAGTTAGTTACAATAATGAAACGAGCATATAAGAATCAAATGCAATAGTTAGAGCGCAAAAATCTTGAAGAAAAAAAAATTAACCGAAACATGTATAAGAATTATTAATTAAATACGAGAGACAATTTAATAATATTGAAATTTATCACGCACATAGTACTAATTCCCAAGAGTCAAATTTATTATAATTATATTGTTTATATTAGAGAATGTTTATATTAGATTATCATTATCGTTTAATAAGAATATATAGTATTAAATCTTAAGAAATCGAAATTTTTTTTTATACTTAAATTTAAATTCCCTTACCGTGTTCCTTCACAATCATGCCAACTCCATGAAAAAATCCTCTGAATCTCGGATTCGCCGAACGTTGATCGTTGATGAATTTCACCTTAATCGTTTCCATCGGAGTAACCGCGAAAATAGCTTCGCACACACCAGCGCAAAGGCCGGCGAAGAGCCTCCTTTGCGGATTGAGCTTTCCATCTGCATCTACTAACTGCTTTTTCACCGACTCAAAAGCGCCAAATCGCACTGCCGATTTTGGTATAGAACCATAAAGCAGAACAGACAAGCCTCTGTATAAACCAAAGAATCCGCGAGTCTTGATGGTCTTGGTGACACAGTCAACTATTCCTGTATATTCTTTACCAGCACCAGCTTTTCCATCCAATTGCAACTGCGTTTTAACGTATTCGGTGGGATATGTGATACAAATTTCTATGCCTCCAGTAATACCACCTGGAAATTAATTGTTTATCTTCGAGTATTTATCAAGAAATAGAATTAGAAATAATATACTACATGGGCTGAAAAGTCCCGGGATTTTTCAATAGGTGGCACCACTAGAAAATGAACATGATTTCGAGAGGTTCATCTGTCACTAGTTTATGTATGAAGTTTCATGACATTTCGTTCATTCGTTTACAAGCTACAGTCGTTTAAGTGGCACTTTCGCCTTTGTAAAAAAAATGGAAAAACAGGAATATCGCATCTTGATCAAACATTGTTTTTTGATGGGAAAAACTTCTGAACAATCATTGAAATGGTTGCAGAAATGTTATCCCACATCTGCTCCTTCGAGAACAACAGTTTATCGGTGGTTTAGTGAATTTAAAATGGGTCGTACAAGCACCAAAGACGCACCTCGCTCTGGAAGGCCAAAAGAGGCTACGAATGCGGAAATCGTAAAGCAAGTGCATCGAATCGTTTTGAGTGATCGTAAAGTGAAGTTGCGCGAGTTAGCTGAGGCTGTGGGCATCTCAAAAGAACGGGCGGGATACATTTTACACGATGTTTTGGAGATGAAAAAGCTATCGGCGCGATGGGTGCCGCGTTTGCTGACCGTCGACCAAAAACAGCAGCGCGTTGATGATTCAACAGCCGGTTTGGCGTTGTTGCAGCGTAATCGAGCGGACTTTTTTCGACGTTTTGTGACGATGGATGAAACGTGGGTTCATTACCATATGCCTGAGTCCAATAGGCAGTCTGCAGAATGGCTGAAAAGCCACGAAAGCCGACCAAAGCGGCCAAAAGATCAACGCTCGGACGGGAAGATTATGGTCTCCATTTTTTGGGATGCGTATGGCATAATCTTCATCGATTACCTGCAGAAGGGAAGAACAGTTACGGAAGAGTATTATGCAGCGTTATTGGACAAACTGAACGACGAAATAAAGAAAAAACGGCCTCATATGGCGAAGAAAAAAGTTCTGTATCATCATGATAACGCACCGTCACACACGTCCTTGAAAGCGATGGCCAAATTGGACCAATTACGATTCGAATTGGTTACTCACCCACCGTATTCTCCAGACTTGGCCCCCAGCGACTATTATCTGTTCCCAAACCTCAAGCGATGGCTCCAGGGAAAGAGATTCACATCGAATGAGGAAGTCATCGCGGAAACCGAGGCGTATTTCGAAGGCTTGAACGTTTCGTACTACAGAAAGGGCATCGAAATGTTGGAAAATCGCTATACCAAGTGTATCGCCCTCGAAGGCAACTATGTTGAGGAATAAATATAACTTTGCCCAAAAAACGCTTGTTTTCATTAAAAATCCCGAGACTTTTCAGCCCATGCATGTATACATATATATATAAGTATATATATATAAAAAATATATATGTATATATGTATGTAGATATATATGTATATATGTATGTATGTATATATGTATATATATATATATTAACCCGGCATCATTGTGTGTGGTGCTAAAATGTTACACGGACGTTGAGGTAGATAATCATAATAATCCGAATTTGTTTTTGGTCTATTCTCGCAATATTCTGTCAATAAAGGTTTTAGAAAGTCTTAGTTCCAGCTAGGGCATTAGCTAAAATTTATGAAATAATGTAAGAAAATACAGATGTAAAAATGTCTCGGGTCATTATGACCCAGTCACAATGACGACGCGTTAAATAGCTCTGTTAATGAAGAGAAGGAAATTGACTTTAAATAGTCTACAAAATTAAAACGCAATTAAAAAGTAACATATTACATAATTTCAATGAAATAGAAATTAAACATAAAAAAAGATTGCTATTACAGCATAATTTGCAAAATCTTTATTTTCTAATTAAAAGGATTCTTATTTTCTTAATTAAATTCTGAACTTATACGTATAATCATTGATTTCTTAAATCATTATATATATAGAACTAAAATCATCGCGTAAAGTGACTGTAATTCGAAATCTCTATTACCATGGAAATTCAGATAAACATGATGACCTTGCAAGGAACATAGATATAGCCACATATGTATGCAATGTGTGAGCTCGCGATCGCGCGATCTTTCACATTATCGTACGATTTAGCAGAGTGCACTTATTAAAAAAGAAAGAGAGAGAGAGAGAGAGAAAGAAGGCTCTGATGGTGTACATTTCCGCATGACATAATGCACTCAGATAGGTGTCTAAGGTCGGCAGCGTGAGCCATGAGCGATCGCGCGAGTGAGAGCGAACACTTTCTCTCTCTCTCTCTCTCTCTCTCTCTCTCTTCTTTCCTAGAGGAAAGGGAGGAGGGCGGAAAGGAAAGGAGTAACATACCGGCTATGACCCCTTTGAGGCCCAAGTTGCCGGAGGCAGCGGTGGCGGCGGCGACGCCAGTCTCGCTCATCCATGGTCTACGTGGAAATGGCAACGGGCCACGGCACGCGCTCGCCAACGATCGCTGTTGCTGCCTCGTCAGATCCATGCTTGGCGCACCAAAGCTGTGAACGCTCCAAGCGCTGCCGCCGCTCATCCACCTACGCCGCTGGACACTGCCGAAGCTGGACTGCCGTCAATTGACACTCATGTGTGCGATGAACGCGTAATGCACTGGTTTCCCCCATATTTTTCCCCTTCCGCAAACGATAGACAACGTTGCCTCATTTAACGTTGCTGCACCTTGTCTTGCCTTGTCTTTGCTCATTACGCATAGATGTACTATGTGCACATACAGGACGACACATCGAAGACTGAAGGGCTTTGTTGAATTAACTGCGCTTGCCTGCACTCTCTCCTTTCTTTCTACTCCCTTCTCTTTTTTTCTCTCTGTACTTGAAATGAAATAAAATAGTTATGCTTTGAACAAGAAGCATGAAAAAAAATATAGAAAATATAAAGACAGACCTTAGATTATATATTTGCTAAATGTTAATATGTAATATTTTCCATAAGAATTTATAGAGATTAATCTGTAAATTATAATCAGAGATTAATCTATTTTTCTTATAATATTATGGATTATTATATGTTAATATTGTCTAGAATAGTTCATAGAATATTACATATTCTACATATACGTATTCTTTCGAAAGAATCAACATCTTCAAAAATTTGGATCCAAAGAATATTTCAGATAAAAATTACGAGGAATTGTGATCACATTCATTTTTTAAAATAAAAGTCAAATGTATGTGTATACATAGGATATTTGATAAATAACGATAAAACTCTCACATAGGGGTAAATAGACTAAACTGAATCGATAAGTCCTCTCTACCATTTTCGCAATAGTTAATAAGACATCAATTACTAAAAATCGAATATTAGTTTTCAATAATTTGGTACTCAAGTATTATCAACTTTACAGAAAACGATAAAAATTATTTATTTTATTCTCATAGAGCTTTAAGAATTTTTTCAGAATTTTTTATCAATTTTTTAGTACCGTATTTTCTCATTTTCTTATCTCAACTATTTTTACCAACATGAGAAAATGCGGTATTAAAACATTCTGAAAAAATTCTCAGAACTCTATAAGAAGAAAATAAACAATTTTTGTCACTTGCCGTTTTTTTGTAAAGTTGATAGTACTTGAATAAAAAATTATTGAAAACCAATATTCGGTGATTTTTAGTAATTAATATCTAAACTATTGTGAAAATTGTAAAATGGTAGAGGACTTTTCAGTTTAGTCCACTCTATTCCTATGCGAGAGTTTTATTATTACTTATCAAACACTCTGATATATAGATTGTCACAGGACCGTATGAGGACTTGAGGATATCGAAAAGGCACTCATCAATAGTTCACTGTCAATACAATAATCGACCTGCTTTAAAATAATTGTTAACGCTCCATTTAATCAAATATATATATCTATGTCTGTGAAAAAAGAATTATTAAATTATATTAAAAATTATTTAAAAATAAGAAAGTGAGTAAAAGGAATTGCTACAAAAAATATTTTTGATGAGGGCACCAATTAGACCTGTTGCGGTCCTATCATCGGCGAGTTCACAGTCCAGGGCTAAATACAGGATGCTTCGTCATGGAATCAATTACCTTTATCTAAATTTTTCAGAGAGTAGAGCATTGTATTACATTTTACATGTTACACAAGTAGAAAAAGAGATATAATGAAGTTAAAGTAAAGTAACTAATTTACATTCCAATATACATTCACCAAAGATCATAAATTTTGAAGCGTAACTGTCTTTTTCTTCAAGATTTCTTTTTACATTCAATCCAGTCAGGCAGTATAATGAGATGTTGATCCGTGAGTAACAAGATGCCAAAATTTTAAATAATTCTCGAGACATACGCTCTGCGATAACCATTTATCATGAATGAGTATAATCGTGTGATCTATTATCTCGTCGTACGATTGCTGACTAAAACAGATAATTGCAATAGATTTTGTAATATATATTCCGATAGATTTAAAATAAAATATTAAAGATATATAGTGTATAATTTTCTTAAAACAATTTTAGTTATATTTCTTACTGTTCAGGTTGCATCACAGTTAGTTGTCATTACACTTTGATTGAAGTGTTATATGATATGTACGTACATTTTCAATCACACTATATGCACGTACGATATAAAAATTTTCTTTCACACAATACACAAATTGACTGTTAATAAATTAAATTGGAAAAAAATATTTTTAAATTATATAAAAATGGAAAAAAGTAGATTCTAAATTGAAGAATGATTCGTTAGATCTGGAATACCCTGTATATAAGAATGTTCCATAAACAGTGATGTCTGATACAGTTACATTCTTTTTTAAATAAACGCAACATGTATAACCATTATTATTTTTACAAATAGTTACTTCCGCATATTTTATATTCTATGATGGCTTAATAAAAATTATATCGTTATTTATAAATCTTATATGAGGGGATACTAAAAATTAGGATGATAGATTGGTTGAAAAATGTAGATGTGGGTATGGAGTGTTCTTTTTCTAGATGTGTTTTTTCTACCAACCAGGTGTAGTGTTTGCTAAACGTCGCATACGTCTGGAAGAAAATAAGAAAATGAACAATCAAATATCTTCACGATAATGTTAATGTATATCTCTTAAAAATTCACGTCTTACCGAGTATTTCGATCTTGATCGCGTATCTTCTTTTCCATCTCTGCATCTGTTAAGGTTTCTAAAAATGGTGCCCATTGATCAGCCTCTGATGGAGGTCTAAAGGGAACTTCTACGGTTGGTAGAGGTGCTTCAGAAAATGCATACGTTCTTTGATGCCATGATAATTGTCCACGTACACTGTCAATAAATATCATCATCATATTATTAGAACAATAATTATACTACTAGAATAGCATATAATCATATTACTAGAATAATAATCAATATCAATTAAATATATAACACCAATTTATTTATAAATTAATATATATTAAATATATATTAATTTATAATAATTTTTTATTATCGAACTCATATTTTCAGTATCCAAAATAATTAATATTTCGATATTTAAATTATCAACTTTGTTTTTGTAATGAATTCTATTTTAATAATGTCGGTAACAAAAATGATATTATTTTGCATGAAGCAAGGGCACAATTATGCTATTGTAGAATAAGAAAAAAGTATTTTACCTGTATGCGATAGCGGTAACAAATTCGCCACCGAGACCAAGTTCCGCGCAAAGTTTCATCGCAAACTTCTCTGGATTATTCTCCTTCTCAGACATATCCCATTCTACTTGATCTACTAGAGAGGTATTACCCACATGTATATTTAATTTAATTATTACTCTCTGATCACATTGATCTTCTAAAATTGTCTCCTGAGGGAATGCTTCTATTTGCTGTCTTATTGCCTGTGCAATCGCAGGAACAAAGGTTAATGGATTTAAATCTAAATCGTCGCATAGTACTTCAGCAAATTGTTCGGGTGTTATAAGACTTTCTGTAAAAGATACAAGATGCATTAAATTGTTTTAATATATCGAGATTCTTGTTATTGGATACAAAAATATATACCATTTTTATTCCAAGTAAAAGTGTCTCTTAATTTTTGACCTTCAATTTCCATGTCTAAACGTATTGGAACCAACATTTCCTGTTGCGCGGCGTTCTCTAAATTTGCCGATGGATCTGTATCATCGAAACTAAATTGGAAGTAAAATATGAGTTATAATTTTATTACACAACAGAATTTTATGTAGAATTTCTGTGCTTTCTTGCTTACCATAATGGAAATGTTCTAACTTTTTTATTGTGCACTCTGTTTCGATTTATTGGTGTAGCTTGAGGAACTGCATCCAGATGTGAACTATTTGGTAAGCTAGGTACCCATGCCATCGACTTTTTGGATTTACCCTCTCTAGGTGCTGGTGGTTCAGTTGAATGCACGGATACAGCTTTATACTTATCATCATTGCCCTCGATAATATCTTCCACCTCACTAGCTCTCAACAATGAAACGCTAGATGCAAGAACGTGCTGACTCAATCCAAGTTCCACTAATTTCTTACGTTCATCATTGGTAATGGATCTTCTGAACATGCCAGGATATCTTTTATACAAAGACCCGCGAAAAAGACGCAGGTAATTGCCAACTTCTGACCCAATACAATAATACTCTCCATTTTCCTCTACTTGAAAACTTATAGGTTTATCTCCGTAGGTGCGTAATGCCATTTTGAAGGCTAATTTCACTGCAATTAGTAACCATAGATTGAATAGGTATTTACAAAAGTAAGATGATTAATGCATTGAGGATTATTATATTATAATTATGCAGAAACAAAAAAATGTACTTCATGAATAAGACCCAGTCTACAACAGATGTAGTAAGCTTTGAACTTTAACTCTAGGTTGTGACTATAATTTGCTCTAAGTTCTAAATATGACCTAAACTAAATATGACCTAAATTTGCTTAAAATTTAAAATTACGTTTTAAGACAACGATTTTTGTCGAAAAAAAATCAAAATTTAGAGCTTAGAGCCAAAAGCTTAAAACTTGTACACTGCTGTAAACAGGGTAATTAGTAATTCTATGAAACACTTGATGAAGTTTCCATTAGCATAATTCATTTACCAAGTTTATCTAGATTCTATTTTTCTCTTAATATTTTTAATGCTGAACTCATGAAAATTAACGCAGCGATAAAATATTCATTAGAGCCAATATAAAATGGACAATGTCGATAACGCTTCATGCATTATTGAAATAAACTTTTGGACAATCTTGGAAATTATGGACTCTCTCTGTCATACCTGGCAACAGAAATAATTCATTCACTCGGGTTTACAAGCTCTCATAAACCTTTTCTTCTTTCGCACGTTTGTTTACGTTTCCTTGAAAACACAGATCGGACACACGGCATCCACAGACGGATATCAAGTTTAATTTTTTTTCTTATGTTCTTAAATTAACGAATATGAAGAAAAGTGCAACACCATAGACATGATCGCACGTTGTGATTCGTCAAATTGGTAGACTTAAAGGCAAACTTGCAGTTTGCTGTGCCAATCAAATTTGAGTAACCAACCAGTCTGTCCTTTTTTTAAGATTTTTTTCATACTATTTTGCTTAAAATATTTCAATATTTTTAATCAAAAATTTAATTTTTGAAACAATGATAATTATATAATTATTTACAATTATAAAATTATAATACTTAATTATATTTGTTTTAAGATTAAAGATGGCCGGCCAAAGGTAGATTTTCATGTGTTCTGTCAAGTGGGGATAATTGAAGGACAATGACATTATCGATCGATATAGCCAAAACAATCAGTAATGTCATCATTTTTCAATTATCCCCGGACTTACTTGAGAAATGAAAATTTGTCCTTAGCCGCATTTATTCTATGCTTTAAGTAATTCTGCTGATAAATTAACCAGTAATTAATAATCGAAGTGGATTTTCCTATGTCCAGGCGCTGATTT